AGAAATCTCCACATGATGTAGCTCAGCGGTATAAGTGCCTGCCTGGCAAGCACAAGGTTCTGAGTTCAATTTCTGGTACAAAAAAAAAGGCCCTCCCAGTGAGTGACAGCTGAGAAGCAGTGTGTGGAAGACAGGGGGTGGGTTCCCCATGAGTCCCAGGTCAGGTCAGGTAAGCAGGCAGAGACATTCTAATTCCATGAGCGCCCTGCCTGCCACTGCGCCCCCTCCCAGCAGGATCCTGGCCCGCGAGGCTCCCACTCCCTGAATGCCAGGACGCTCCAGCAAATCTAGAGGAGGCCATCCCTCCCAGGAGCCAGGGCCAGCACAGCCAAGGCGTGACACATGACCCTGCGTCATTCTACCCTCCACCTCCTCCCAGCTCTACACCCCACACCTCCATGTGTCAACGTGACAGGGCAAGAAACTCAGCTCGCCTCTCCTCCTCGGCAGTGTTCACGTGTGGCCCTGGATACAAAGAAAAGTGCAAGTGGGTGCCCCACTGGCGCAGCCTCTCCCCTTGAGACCTTCCTGTGACACATTCTCAGGACTGGTATGGGCTGTGTCACCTGCTCCCTGACTTCCAGACTCAAGCACAGAGTTATATCCCTGCACCCATCAGGTTCAGCTTCCCAAACCCAGTGGCCTTTTTGCCCAGTAGCTCAAGGATCAAGGCTGAGGACAGAAAGTGGAAAGCCTTCCATGCTATGACAGCATCTCAGCCTGTGAGTTCAGGGTCCCACACTGTCTGTCTAGGTGTTCTGGTCCTCTTCCCACTGCAGAGCCCACAGCTCCCTGAATTCCAGCAGATGGGTGGGTCACTGACGGGTCTCTGCCTCCCCCGCCTCAGCGTCTCAATTTTTGAAACCAGAATAATATTCCCTGGTCTTAAAGTCACAGAATATGAGACTCGGAACACAGAAAGTTAGACAAATTCTTTCACTTCTACTCCTTTGCTTGCAGAAGGAAAAGCTCAAGGCCCAGACACAGCAGGCAACCCAGAGAAGGGAAAACAGTTAATGAGTTAAGGTGGCACAGATGTAGCCCTCCCTGCGTGACAGCATTTCTTAGGCTTGTGTGTGCACACGAGAGCCCTGGAGGGGGCTCCTTCCAATGCAGATCTCCAGGTCCTCCTCACAGATGCTTATTCAAGAAGCCCGGGGGCCCGGGATTCTGCATTTCAACCAAGATCCCTGCGCCTCTCAGCCAGATGGCTCTCAGGTGTGACATACCACTGTGTTCATTTTCATGTCTAATTCCTGCTCACTTCTTGGGCTGCTGTAAAGGGAAGAAAATGTGCTCAATGGGAAGACTTTAAGGAACACAGCCTTCGTGATTGAGGTGTCATAATCACTGTTGCCTCTTATTGGCTCCCCCAGAGCCTCCATATTTTCTCCATCTCTTCCCTGGCCCCAGTCACTCAAGGGAATTCCCAGGTATCTGGCTCATAGGTCTGGAAGCCTTTCTATTCCAAGCAAAAGCATTATGGTCCCCTGAGTCCTAACTGTCTAGGTTTTTCATAAGAAAACCACCAGAACAAGTGTAAAATTGAGGGCTGGAAGAAGGGAGAGGCCACTGTCACTGGTGGGGGGGGGGACCAGAAGAGAAGGTGGTGTTGGGGTGGCCTCACTCTCCCTTTCCACACCCCTCACAGAGAGCAGCCTTGGGGCTGGATCCTTCCCAAGTTCAGGTATCGACCTCGTGCCAATGGCTTCTTGCAGCTCATTTGTTTTCTGTCAGGCAAGTTGCAGGCCAAGGTACCCGGCGGGCACGGCTGCTGTATTAAGAGATGGCACCTGTCAACTACAAAGTGCCTCACTTAAGGCCCCGGGTGAGGGCTGCCAGATAACACACAGGACATCCAATTAATGCATTAGTATGTCCCACATAAGTATGTCCCACATGCTTACATTATAACACTATTTGTGCTTTCTCCGAAATTCAACATTAATTGGGCACCCTGAGTTTTTATTTGTTTTGCTATTTGTTGTTTTATTTGGGGTTTTGCCAGCTGGCAGGTGGCATGCTGGCAGACTCTGGCCCTCTTCCCTTCAGCAGGGAAGGTCATTCTCAGACCTTGGACCCCAGTCTCCTGGCCTTAAAGGAGCCTAGGGGAGATCAGAGGTCCTTGCAGCCTGAACGCTCCCCACCATGCTGAGGCCACAGGGGAGGTACACCTGGCAGACAACACATTTTGCAACTGTCACGACTAGTCAAGGTCGTGGAAAAAAGCTCTGGCTCTGTCCTGCTCCTCTGGGGCGGGGGGCAGGGAAGGAAGGCGAGGAGAAATGAAAGGGTCCTCTGCTCCTTCCTCTGAAGTCCTTCCCTGAAGAGGCCAGGCACTGGCCTAGAAAGCCCTGAGTTTGTAACCTGGTGGGCAACTGTCTGGCAGAAAGCCTGGTCAGCGTGGCAGGGGCTGGGAACTAGATGCCGGTGCATCTCTGAGCTCTGCTGCACGTTGCATGACTTGGGTAGATTAACCTGTTTGACGGAGCCTTCTAGTTACAGCGGGACAACAACAGCAGCAGCACTTACACGGTAACCGGAGTGTACAGGTGCCCACTGAACTCTTAATAAACAATCGAGCAATCTCACACAGCACATACTGTGTCACCCCATTTTACAGGTGAGGAACCGGGGATACAAAAAGAATAGACAGCAGGGAAAAGTCCAAAACTCAGGAGGTTCTTAACACTTGACCTTCGCTTCTGAGAAAGCTGCAGGCCAGGAAGAGGGGGTGAGACGGGGGGAAGGTGTGGTAACAGGTACCAAAACACAGCCACCTGGGAGGAATACATTCTGGTGGCACTATCATTCACGACGGTTTACTTTGTATTTGGAAAAGCATTAGAACAGATGAGTTAGAAGATTCCCAGCACAAAGAAACAATAAATGTTTAAGAAGCCAGAAATGCCAGTTGCCCTGATTTGATCGCTACACATTACATGCATGTATCAAATGAGCGCTTTGTGCCCATAAATACATGCAATTGCTCTGTATGAATTAAAATTTTTAAAAATGTCTTTTAAGGATCAGACGCAGCACACATTCAGGAACCCAGGGGACAGACACCTGCTGAAAGGCCGATACTTTGCTCGGTGCTGCTATGCCCTTCACAGGGTCAGGCTCACTGAAACACAGCAAGTAGAGGATGCTCCCTAAATTCTGATGTTAAGCGCAGGGAAACTGAGGCTCAGGGAGGTCAAGGATTTCCCAGGGTCATAAATTTGAGTCCAGATCTGAACACAGGTCTTGCATTTTAAGGCCTGTGCAGTTCCTCCACCCCCCGCCCGGCCTCTGGAGCAGTTTAGGGACACTGCGCTGGCCACACAACATGGGCAGCTGTGATGAGATTGGAGCTGCCCCGGGCACTGTGCCCTGAGGTGCCCTCAAGCTGCCTCTGTCCTCCCTCAACTGGGTGACACCAGCCCTCCCCTTACCCTGCCCTTTCCCTAGGGACATGGACACCTTCTTCTCTGAACCGGTCTGTCTTTCTCCCCAGCCTTCCACACTTCCCTGGTGTCCATTGTCTTCTCTATAATCTGCAGATTTCAGAAATCTACTAAACTAAACTACCTTGAGATGAGGAAACTGAGGCACAAAAAGGATAATAAATGGCTTTCCAAGGTCCCAGTCACCCAGGCATTTATGGAGCACAAGGTACACTTCTGACTCCAGGATACCATACCAACCCCAAGACCATGTGGGTTTAATGGAGCCAACCATACCTGCCAACCATGGGGTAAATGATGCCAGCTCCACACAGCCCAGTGCCAGGAACAACCAGAACCAAGGAGAGCCCATCCCCAGTGATCTGGGGAAACAGGCAGGAGGCTGAGGACTAAGTTTAAAGTAGGAGAATCTTACACCTTGCAAGCAGGATCTTCCTAGGATTTGCTCAAGGTAATGAAAGTTCCAGCACAGAGGCCTGTACCGCTGGGTGGCCATCCTGATGCACCAGTGCGAGCCTGTGAGCCAGGTAATGCATAAAACAGCCCAGGAATTCTATACACGGAGCGGCTTGAGTTCAGAATAAATGAAATAAAAGATTCTGAAGCTCAACCTGCATCTGTGTTACCTTTTATAATGGGTGATCCCAATTCTGCCAAGTCTTAAGGGCAAGGTGGGAGGTGGGATCTAGCTCTGAGAGGTTACAATGGGCACTGATGGCACACAGCCTGAAGTCCACCCAGACTATGGACATCCACCTGTCCCAATCGCACACTGGTGCAATTCCTATGAGTATTAGGATATCCTGCTTCTCAGTCCCCACCTTTGCCTCTCTCCTGCAGGCCTTCCCTGGGGGCCCTGCACTCCCCGTGTCCTCGGGCTCACTATGCAGATGGAGAGTTTTGTCCTGGAGGGCACCAGAAGGGGCTCCAGAAAAGCAGGGAAGGCACCTGACTGCAACGTTTCTGTATGACTTTTCACATCTGGGCTGAAAAGCCACAGAGCCATAAATCATGACTGCATGCCTGGCTTGCCGCGGGTCCCCTCACCAGGAATATCCTCACCCTTTTCATCAGAAGAGCAAAGCTGAGCTGGCAAGCAACAGAGACCAGAGCCACAGAACTGGCCGGCTTCTCTCCATCTTCTGGGTACCCAGGTAGGGGAAAGGAGCTGCGTTTCCCACATGGTAGCGTGCCTTCGGCTCAGTAAGGTTATTGGATGACCCACACCTATCAGTCCTAGACACAAAGCTGGGTCAGATGATCTTCTCCTGGACATGGGGTGCACCAGCAGGCCCCTTACTTGGGAAGGTAAGTTAACAGAGGAAGAAGGAAGGACGCACTGCTTTATCTCCCAGAAACTCAGGAGCATTTGGGCTGTGTCCCTCCGTACCCTTTCCCAGCAGAAATGCGGGAGAACTCCAAGCTAGAAACCTTGAGGAGTTGCACCCTGAGCATTCTCACCCAAGCCATCTCAACCTGACTTTAGCGGGTGGGTGGGGGGTCTCTCCCTGCTCCCTCCAGAGCCCCACTTAGGCCAGCTTTCCTGCTCACCTTTGGGCAGTTTGGACGCGTTCTCCTGAATCCAGGAGAAGAGGTGGGCGAAGTCACAGTCGCACAGCCAGGGGTTCCCGTCCAGGCGCAGGGTGCGCAGCGCGGGTAGCGCATCGAGGGCGGCCACGCTGAGGCTGCGCAGGTTGTTGTCGTTGAGCTCCAGCACCTGCAGCGACTCCAGGGTGTCGAAGGCGGCCTCGTGCACGCCCGCCAGGTTGTTGTTGGCCAGGCTCAACTTGACCAGCCTTCCGGCGGAGCGGAAGACCCCGGCGCCCAGCTGGGTGAGGTTGTTGTAGCTGAGGTCGAGGAAGGCGAGCTTGGCCGAGCCACTGAACGTGCCCTCCTCCAGCGAGCGCAGAGAGTTGTTCCTGAAGTCCAGGTACACCAGGTCGCCGTAGAAGATGAAGAAGTCTTCGGGAATCTGCTGAATGCGGTTGCCGGCCACCAACAGCTTGCGCACGTCCAGCGGGAAGGGGTCGGGCACGCTGGGCAGCCCGCGATCGCGGCAGTCCACAGTGTGCGGGTCCGTGCAGGTGCAGCCTGCGGGGCACGAGAGCCCGGGCCCGAGCAGCAGCAAGAGGTTGCAGAGCGCAAGCGCCGCGGCGGGGCGGCGGGGGACAGCGCGGGGGCGCATGGCCAGGACCCCCGGGCGGCGACCAGACGACGGGTACTCGGCTCCTGGGGCGAGCAAGGCTGACGGCGTGGGGAGCCGGAGGGCGCGCAGGGGCGAAGGAGAGCAGCGCGGACCGACCGCGGAGTCAGGCAGCTGGGTAGGAGGAGGCGGAGGCGGGAGGGAGGGGAGTTACCCGGGCACCCGGGCAGGAAATTAACCCGCTGGACAAACCCGCAGAGCCCAGGCCGCTGCGGGGGTGCGCGACCGGGGAATTAAGACTTGTCTGGCAGACTTAGCCAGTGGCGCTCGACTACTAAGTTCAATTGCCCAGCCCAGGAGCGGGTTCCATAGGGAGTGTCCAGGGCATGTACCCAGCATCCCCGTGCCAAAGCGCTCTCCCCGCTCACCACCTCTGCTGCCAAAGGGAGCGGGATAGTCCCCTGGGGTTATGGGACCGCGGGGGTTTGGGGTGGAGGCCCTGCCAATCAGAGTTGGGGCAGTTAGGGCAGGGCGGGGCCACAGGGTGACCCGTCTCCTCTCCTTCCTCTTCCCTGCACTTGACCCACCCAGCGAGGGGGAGTGGAGGGGGAGCAAGGCCTGGGCTGCCAAGGCCCCTGCTGTGGGAAGGACAGCCAGGGCCACTCAGCACTTTCCATGCTGGCTCGAGCTTTAGGATGGACTTCAGTTCCTCCGGGCGCATCTGCCTCAGGTCTGACAGGGGTCCAAAGGAAGAAGCACCATGCCCCAGGTTCCCAGCTCCGTGGCCTGGGACCAGCGTTTCCACCTCTCTGAACCCAGTGAGCCTCATCCGTGAAATAGGAAAGGCCAGTGCGTGTCTCCCTCACTCTAGCAGTTCCAGAGGGTTAGGGAGGTTGGAAAAGTGTTCAGAAATTTCCTTCTGTCTCAGCCACTGCCAGCTCTGGTGGCCGGGACAGGAGATCAGGTCAACCTTATACATTTACCAGGAGAATCCCCTCTCCATCAATCCGCACGCAGCCCCTCTCCATTCTAGCAAATTTTTTTCTTGGGGAGGTCCCCAGGAGCCACCAGGAGATTGTGCTGCCCGCTGGCTATTTTGGTCTAAACACCCTGGAATTGACAAGCTCCCCCGGACCAAAATAACTGAGGGAACAGCTGTCAGGGCAACAGGCCCCCAGAGACCCTGGCCTGGCCTGCTGGGGATTGGTGGAGCCAGGGATTCTGAAGCCCAGCGCTAAGCCCCGGCCTTTTTCCAAAGGCACTGGCAGTTGGTGCCTTTTAGCCCAGGGATCAAAGGCTGAGCCTTTGGGACTAAGCCAAGGGCTCTGAGAGGAGAGCATTTGCAGAACCTTGCTGAGGGGCAGGGGAACCTGGAGGAGGGCAGCTCTTTCTCTTCTTATTCCACAGCCAGTAAGCCACACCTCTGGAGTCCTAGTCTCCACATTTTTAGGTTCCCAGCCTGCCTTTGTTGTCCCCAACTTCAGGCCCTCAGCTCCTCCTCTATGGTCTCCCCTCTGGAAGAGGTAGGGATAGACTGGAGCTGGTCTCAAAGCACCCAGATCCGCCAAAGCTGTATCAAAAGATAACAGGAAACAAGGAGATGGATCTTTGCAAAAAGGAGAGGGACCGAGAGATGGAAGGGGAAGAAGGGAGGAAGGGAAGGAGATAAACAAAGAATTAAGGTGTGTGTTAGGTACAGGTACCAGCTCCCCAAAATGAATGTGATCATTACATACTACAAACATGGACTTGTAAAGGTTTTTTTCAGTTTTAAAAAGGACATGTGATTGAAGCACAGACAGGGGGCAAAATAAACCTCCACCCCACCTGCCACCACTCTACAGACGCTTCCTTGAAAAGTTAGTGTTCCTCCTTCCAACTTCAAGCTCTGTTCTGGCTGCTCACCCCAATATTGAGGAGTTTTCTTTCCTGGTTTGAGCTTGAACAACCTGATCCCTGCCTTTGGGTGGGCTCCTGTCTTACACACGTGTCCGCATGCCTGTGGGTGTGAGTGTGCACACACAAGCTCTCCTGTCAAGTGGCCGGGATGCCTGGAGTCCTGGGCCATGTGCCAGGACCATTTTCTAGGCTTGGCCCCACCATTAGCCACAGAATCTTTCACAGGTCACTTGGTCTTTATGATGACCGCTCAGTCTGGCTCCTTTGAAGATAAATTCTTCAAATTTCCAAAAAGGTCTGGAGGAAATTGGGCCTTTTTGTAGGAGTGGTCACCCAGATTAAACACTGCAATTTTTGGTAGCGAACCCAGTGGTAGTGCTAGTTCTTTTGTACTGGGCAGAAACTTTACGTGGCACTCATTGGTGACAACATCAATGAAAACAATGTATTTTTACCTAACACATGCAGAGAATTTAACCAACAAGGGCTTGCAGAACAGAAGACCTCTTGGTAGCTAAATCATAAAAGAGGCTTCTGGTAGTGAAACGGCTGGGAAATACCACTCTTAGCTTTGATGCCCTCATCCTGAAAGAAGAGAGAAAACATTTTCCTGCCCTAGCACTGACAAGGTGGGGGCCACAGGGGGTCATTTGCATGGGGACCCAATTTGAAACACTTGGGGAAACCATTGCAAATAAAAGTGCCCACAGCAGGAGATATTAGCTTTTTGCTTTGAACGTCCCCAAAGTCCCTTGGATCCAAATCTAAATTATTTTCATTAATACCAGTGTGCATAGTCACATCTGGGGTCCATAGGGAGCAAGAGGGTCCCCCAGATTCTAGGGTTCCCGGCCCTTGGGAAAATGCAAACTTTGCGGCCTCTCATTTTTTTCCCCACAGCAAGAAGCACAGAGCTGTGACCTCAGCAAGGTCACATCATGAGTCAGTGATAGGAGCTGGAAATAGAACACGGGCATTGTGAGTCCCCACCTGCACCACTTAGCCGCTCGCCCCACACCCTCCCTGGGAGACAGCCTCGTGGACTGGAGGACAGACATGGCAGGTGGAGAGACAGACAGATGACAGGCTTTCGGAGATTGCATTTGCAGGCTCTGCTTTTCTTCATTTATTTTCAGGGCAACACACGCAGCTTTCTGTTCAAGAGGCTGTGAGCAGGGATGTGCCAAGTGCCCAAGGTCTCCCGATGTTTTGAAAAACCCACATCATGCCTTCTCCGACTCTGCCCTCATCCCCAGAATCCTCACCCTCTTCCCCATGTTCCCCTTCCTGTCTTGTCTTACCCTATTCTTGTCTGATTGATTCCCCACAAGGCAGGGGCCTGGAGAGCTGTGGAGGTCCCCAGGAAAATCAGTGCCCTACATGGAGCCTGGACCGCAGATCAAAATCAGTCCAGTAAGCTTTCCCCTTCTGTGACCAGCCTGACAGCCCAATGAGGCCAAGGCCATGCACTGCAGCCAGCGATGCCTGTATGTTTCGCGTTGGAGTGAGAATTTGAGTGGGGAGGCCGCCTTTGAATAAGAATGTGGCTGGTATTTGGTGATGTCATTTGGGTTACTGACATGAATCACATCAGTTCAGCACCAGGCAGCCTGGCACGAGGACATCCCTGGGCCCCAGGAAAGGAGGCACACTGACTGAATGGCTCTGCTGGGTCTTAGTTTCCCACCAAATAGCATGGCAGAACTACAGCTCCTACCCCACTGCCCTTCCCGGCTGCCACCACCAGGGGGGGCACCACCTGCTGACTGCAGTGATCAGAGCTTGAGCCCACTTCAGAAGGAGCACTCCTGCCCTCCTATCTTTCCACTCTGGAACTAGTAACTAGTAAATAAACTTTCCAACCACCTAAAAGGGAGGAGGTTGGGTGGCAGTAGCAGTTGGGAACATGAGTTTGGAGTCTAACAGACCTGGGCCAAATTCAAGCAGTGTTTCTGGAGCAAGTTACTGAATTTCTCTAATTTCCCTTTTTCCCTCTCTCCCTCTCCAGCCACAGCTAGAGGTACCTCTCTTCCCCCTGCCCCCTTGCTCCCTGGCCTGTTTGGCCTAAATGTGAGCAGGCTAATGAGACTGAGGACAGGGCAGCGAGTGTTGGTTCTTGGCCTGGCACAAAGACTCCAAACCCCATAGTTCTAATGCTGGCCAACTCCCTAGAAAATGTGCAGCCTTGGGAAAGACTGGAGGAGGGAAGGAGCCAATCATGTCCCAGGAGGAAAACAAAATCTCAAGGCAGGATTACCCCATGGGCTGGGGGCACATGGCCCAGCGAGCCCTGGTGTAGTCCAACCCCAGGTCCGCTTCTCTTCCTCCAGTTCCATCCATTGGCAAGACTCCTTAGCCTAACTTCTCTGTCCCTCCAGTGTTGCCTGTTTAGTCCAAAACTATGAATCCACAGATGCTTTTAGATCAATGTGTTTTGTTCTAAACTATTAAATTTGGAGGTTATTTGTTATACGGCCTTAGCTAACTAATACACTGTGGCACTTGGAATAAAACCCTCCCAGACCCTGCATGGTCTGGCCCTACATATTTTCCAACCCAACACTGGATTGTATTTTTTTTTCTTTTTTGGTACTGAGGATTGAACCCAGGTCTTTACACTGAACTACTATTGTAAGATGAGGTCTCAGTTGCTAAGTTGCCTGGGGTGGGCTTGAACTTATGATCTTTTTTGCCTCAGCCTCTGAGAATGCTGGGATTACAGGTTCAGAGGGTGCGTGGCTACTTGGACTCTTTTCCCTCATGGTGCACTCTCTAGCCACTTTGGTCTTCTATCTAATTTCCTGTGTTGTTCTTACCACAGAGTCTTTGCCCTTGCTGTCTGTCCTCTTCTTGGATGACTTTTTGCCAACTCTTGACCCTGTTGATGCCATTTAGTCATTCAGAATTTCTCAACCCAGATGTCAGTTCCTCCCTCAGATGGGCCTTCTTAGACTCCCCATCCTGCCCCAGTTACTCTGCCCTCCCATGTTTTCTTTTCTCCAAAACACCTATGACCACCTGGCGTGACCACCCTCTACCTCCCCCTAGTAAAATGGACCCTCTACGGAGGGAGCCCGATACTTCATCTCATTTCCTAGAATTAAACCCAGAACACAATCAGCACTCAAGCAATGCTTCATTCATTGACTGTTGCCTGCAATGTTGCTTTACCACTGGGCTGCCCATTTCCGGTGGCTTCCGGTGATGACTCCCCTAGAGATGTCTCACCCAGAGGTACACTTCCTGGTGGAACGAGAGCCTTCATCCCTCTAGGAAGTCATGGGGAGAACACAGAGCACTCTGGCTGTACCCTTGCAGTAGCTGAGTAGAAAGTACGTTTCTAGCTCTTCTATCAGAATCCCTTAAAACCCACAAATGACTTATTCTCATCCCCCCCTTGAGCCCTTGTCCATACCCTCTGTTCTGCTTGCCTCTCACTGTCGGAAAACTTGGCCTCCTCCTGGGAGCCCTTCCAGAGCTATTCTAGGCAAGTCTCTGCTCCCCTTTATTCTCCACCTAAGTGCAATGCAAGGTGGGGGTAAATAGATGGAGCAGGTGCAGCCCCCAGCTCAAGGAGCCCATG